TAGCCCATGGAACTTCTGCGTTCTCCTCCCACAACATCAAGATAAAGTGAAAGTAAACAGAAGCTTGGAAAATTACTAGTGTTCTTCCTCATCAAGGTGCATGACAAAAGGAGGCAGACAATGCATTACATTTCACTTCTTTGCAGTATTGCTTGTACTCACAATTTTCCATCGCAAAGATCGCAGAAAGAATTTTCTCTTATCCTCTCAGAACAGAAACTTTGATAGTTGGCTTTTCTGCTTTCGGTTGCTCTAAAAGGCAGAGACATCTGAAAAGGCTTTGTGATCCGTCTGAATTTACATTCCTATGAGAAAGCTAATTCATTCCCTAGCTGAAATTAGATATTCACCTTATGCCTATCCACCCGAGGCAGAAACATGTTTCCACTGAGAACACCCAAGCCTTTTCCTTCAGGATTCTGCTCTTTCTGCCTTTGGTTTAAATAGCGTGTCAGTATTTCTCTGTTTTGGGGAAGCTTTATTTTGCACAGCAGTGTACTGCCCTCAGGGGTTAGAACTGATGATCTACTTTGCAACAGGGTCTAAATCCAAACATCTCTATTTCTGATTTCTGGAAAATGAAACAAAAGCTGAAGCCAGGCGGCATCACAATGGCTGACCCAAACTTGCTGACTTCAGCGTTTGTCTCCACTTCTTTCATAAACCTGATTCTCAAGGTCACTCGGTACGCTCACTCCCACTGGATTTGATTGTTGGGTGGGTAATGACGTTTTGCATGGAAGGTTTCAAAGGCTGGAACCTATGAAGAAAAAGGGGTTTGATAAGAATGTGAGCTCCATGAGAAAAGGAACTTGTTTTTTTTCACTGCTCTCTCCATGCGAAGAACAACAGCTGGTACTTACTACTTAATACTCAATAAATATTTGTTGAATAACTGGGAGGGAGAAGCATTTTGCCTAAGCAGAACTAAGCTTTTTACAAATACTTTCAAGACGGTTTACTAGTAATTGCTCCTTATAGCTTAGTTTGTGGTTAGCATAACATTTCTCCTTAAAAGGTGTCGGCATATTTAACTTTTAACTTTTTTTTTTTTTTTGGAGAAGAAAAACAATATGCGAGATTAAAAAAAAACCTGTTTATAGTCAGTTTAACTAAAGAGTAAAATATATATATATATACATATATATATATATATTTTAATTTCCCCCTCCCCATAGAGTGAGCAGCTCCAGTAGGTTCTGTCACCTGATCTATTCTGGGCTACAGGGAGGGTCCAGACATGAACTGGCGACCTTCTCATGTGGGTCTGCTTTGTAGGGCTTCGTGTTTTACCACCATACTACCAGATGGCCCCAGAAATGTTTACTAAACAACTAATATAGGCTAAGCACATGTTGTTATGAGGGAGACCATGCTGAGGTACATGAAATGACCCTGACCTCAAGAGTTGTGCTGGATTGAACAGAGAAATAGACACAGTCGTGTTTGGAAGCACTAGAAGGGAGGAGAAAGGCAATGGGGGAGCCAGACTGAGCTCTGGGACGGAAAGGGCTAGGCCAAATTCATCTTGTATCCTTACCACTTAGCAGAGAGTGGACACTTAATATTTGTTGGATGAACACCTGAAGAAATGATCTTTTCTTCACAACTGCACCTAAGTCCTTGAGTTAAAACAAAACTCAAGCAAGTAATTATGGTGGTTTTAGTGGATCAAAGAAAGGGACTACATCTGAGTGAGGGAGGGTGAAAGAAGTCAGGGATCATGAAGGAGATGGGGTTGAAAAGTAACCCTCCAGCCCAAAGAATAAAAATATTAATAATAAAGGTATGGAGAGGAAAGGGAAAGGGAAAGTGGGAAGCAAGTATGGGGGGGTGAAGTAGCTGAGGCTGCTGCCAGATGGCATGGTGGGAGTGAGGGTGGAGTAGACTGGGTCCAGGAGAGGAAGGCACAGCTGCGGGCAGAAGAGTCTACTGGACAGGCAAAGGGAGACCATGGGGGCCCACTTCTAGAAGTAACCCTGACCAAGGAAACCAGGGGTACTGGGACACTCAACTCAGCACCTCCCAGTAGGAAGCTGGGGCCCAAGAGGATCTAAGGGCAGTGAGACCGCGGCACATTTCTTTCTTTTGTTTCTTCATGGTAAAGTGCGTGTGCATATATGGGGGAGAGAGAGAGAGAGAGAGAAAGAGAGAGAGAGAGAGAGAGAGAGAGAGAGACCCTTCACGTCCCTTCCTCCAGTCCTCCGGTCTGTCGGGTCCTGAGCACTCACAAGCACGCCCAGAGTGTCTCAGGCTGATGGGGCCGAGATTCCAGCTGTGGTCACATGTGAGATCTGGCTTCTTACTGAACAGACCATAATTGCTACAAACACGGAGCCAGCCTCACTTCACTTTTCTATGCCAGGTGGAAACGAAATCCACAAGGTTCTTATTAGGAGATGGCAAAGGAATTAAAAAAAAAAAATCCAGGGGCCAGCAGGTGGCATAGTGGTTAAGGCGCTGGGCTCCCCTGTGGTCGACTGTGACTGGAATCCCAGAACTGGTGGCTTGAAACACACTGGGCGTGTGCGAGTCCAAAATCCCTAGAGGAGAATGGAGGAGAGTGGATTGTGGCATGGCCATCACCCCTTGTCTTTCTGGCAAAATTCTAACAGCAAAAGAGAGGTGGTTGTTAGAAATAGTATTAGGGGTCAGGTGGCAGACTAGGGAGGAGAAACAAAAAAATGACTTCAAGTCCCAGCCTAAGTCAGTGGGGAAGTGGTACTTCTTTTTGTAAGAGATTTTTGCCTTAGGTTGTGTGTGCTTGCCAGAGACACAGACTGAGACAGTGAGAGAGTGAGAAATAAGTCCTGGGGGGATGGGCTACACTGTAATCCATCCTACTCTATTCTCCTGGGATCTTGGGCATGCATGCACATGTGCCTGGTGTGATTTTTTTTTTTTTAAGCCACTGGGTCTGTGACTTGAACCATGGTTGGCCATGTTGGATTTCAGTGATGTAACTGCTATGCCATCTGCTGGCCCCATGGGAAATGGTACTTTTTTGTTGTTGTTGAGATTTTTGCTATAAGCCTTGCTCCCTGAGAGAGACAGAGAGACAGAAGTCAAAAATCACCCCCACGGAGGATGGGCATGCTGCAATTCCTTCTCCATTCTCCTCACGGATTTTGGGAATGCATGCACATGTGCCTGGCATGAGTTTTAAGCTGCCAGGTCTGGGACTCAAATGGCAGTTGACGACGTGGGAGTCTAGTGACATAACCACTACATCATTTGCTGGTCCCAGAAATGGTACCTTTTTTTTTTTTTTAAAGAAATGGCACTTTTAATGGGAATGAGGAAGGTGGCCGGAATAGCAGGATGGGTGCAGGGGAGTGAGGTTGGACTTATTTATTTATTTAATTTAATTTTATTTTGAGAGATTTTCACTATAGGGCGTGTGTGCTCGCCAGACAGACAGAGAGAGACATAGAGACAGAAAGCGAGAAATCACCCCCCAGGGGGGATGGTCAAGCCGCAATCCCTTCTCCTCCATTCTCCTCTCGGGATCTTGGGCACGCACGCACACGCGCCTGGCGTGAGTTTTAAGCCACCGGGTCCGGGATGCGAACCGCGGTCGACTACATGGGAGTCCAGCGACATAGCCATTACGCTAACTGCTGGTTCCCATCACTTTCAAAACTAAACTAAATACCTGTTGCTTAAGCTGCTGTGTAACCACCACCATGTTTACAACTGCCTACTAGACGTCCCCAACTAGAAGATGATTTAAATCCAACCTCTGGCCAGCCCCGTCTCCTAGTGGTTAAGGGAACTGGATCTCAGGTGGCTGACCACACAATTTAAGTCCCAGCCCTGGTGGCTTGAAAAACACCAGGGACATGTACATGAGTGCCCAAAATCTCAACAGGATGAAGAAATAGAGAAGTGATGGCATGACCACACCTCACTGGGAGGTGCTTTCTCCCTCCCTCTCTCTGTCTCTCCGTGGCAAGTACACACACCTTCTGGCAAATTAAAAATAAATAAGTCTTGGGAACCAACAGTTAGTGTAATGGCTATGTCGCTGGACTCCCACATAGTCGACCACGGTTCGCGTCCCGGACCTGGTGGCTTAAAACTCACGCCGGGCGCATGTGCATGTGTACCCAAGATCCCGAGAGGAGAATGGAGGAGAAGGGATTGCGGCGTGCCCTTCCCCCCTGGGAGGGATTTCTCGCTTTCTGTCTCTATGTCTCTCTCTGTCTGGCGAGCGCACGCGCCCTATAGTAAAAATCTCTCAAAAAAAAAAAAACGATGTATTTATTGGAATAAGTTAAACTGCCACATTTGGCAAAGTGAAAACTAATTTTTGTTATCCTTAGTTGCCTATTTTTTCTCTACAGAGGTAAGTAGTGTTTCCATTTTCTTGAGTATTATTCTGCAAGTATTCTGTGTGTGTTTATATGTATTTTATGTACCCAGGAAGCTTTTAAAATTTTGTCTAAAGACTTGTGTATCTTTGCGACAAGAAAGAGAGAGACTGAAGAAGCAAATTAAAGAGAAGTTACTGAGGCAGGAGAAGGTAGGCTCAGTGATGTGGGCACATGCTTTAGCAACAAGACTGGATGGGCTCTTCCCAGAGCTAGGGCAGGTTATGGCCGTGGAGACGGTGGGTGCTGCATCACTTGTCTCAGCCTGGTGGTGGCACAGATGCAAGCAGAGGTAGAAGGGTGGCTTAAGGAGGATGCAGGATAGGCGTCAAGTAGCCACAGCGGTTAAGTACTCTGTACTGGAATCTGTATTTTACAAGACCAACTGCAGTTCAAATTGCTGTGCGTATGACTCGAAAAGCATACCAGGAGTGTATGCATGTGGGCCCCCCAAAATCCTGACAGGACAGAGAAACGGAGGAAAAAGGAATGATGAGGTCTGGCCGTGCCCCATTTAAAAGTACTTTCTCTCTCTCTCACCCTGGTGAGATAAGCACCTTCTAGCAATAAAATAAGTAAACAAAATAATCACTGTGGACACAAGAAGTTATCACAGCACTATTAAGATTCAAAAATCAATCCAGAAGGTTTATTTTGATGATTTATAAAAGAAATATCACCACAGCAACTTAAAGCTATTTACAAATTTAAAAATTAATTTACATAAATGAATTTACATCTTATTACATTAGACAGCTTTAGTTAAAATGTTACAGGTAGTGTTGAACAAACACAACATAATATAAATCAAGTTTTAAATCACATAAATGCCCTTAAAGCATGCTCACTTATCACTGGAGGATGGTCCAAGGGAAAAAAAAAAAAAAACAAACCTAGAAAAAATACGATTTGGGGAATGGGTGGTAAAGGTGATTTTACTGGTCTCCGGTCATGTGGCTTTTAAAAGTCACTTAACTCTAAACTGTGACCAGAAGCTTATGTGAGGACAGACTGAAGACAAAGTGAGAGTTAAATTTTATTTTTAAATTCTAGATTAAAACACAGAACTTCTAATTTATACTCTGATTCATGTGAAACTAGTTTTTATCAAGGATGATAGCATTTGTGACTGATTGGGTATCATCCTTTTCTTCTGCAGGTCAGTATTTCGGTTGCTGGAAAGGGAATGACTGAGGATGGACAGATCACAGCTGCAGAGTTCCCTGCTCCTCTGCCAACTCAGGGCTCTACCTACACATGTGTAGCCCCTGGGAGGAAGAATACCATCACCAAGCCTGACACAGACCCAGGTCTGGATGCCACCTCTGAGAAATGCTGGCCGCTCAGTCCCTGGAGCCAGGGAGGGAGTGCTTGGCAGCTGCCTGGGCATGCTTCCCTTGGATCACTTGCCAGGCCAAATTACACGGACAGGCAGCTCCCTGGAGATGTTAAATTTGAGACTTAAGTGTCAGGAAGAGCTGACAATAAATAGTTTTTATGAGGAAAGTGAGCAAAAACAGGTATTTGATAAGACCTGAGAATTCTTACCTACTTTAATTAAGCAAAGGTATTATGGGAATCATTTCAGCTTATTCCCTTAAGTATGGTCCCTTAGAATTAAGTAGAACTTCCCTACTTCAGGTTGACTGACTTGCAGCCAGGTACGTGAACCTAAAGTGTAAGTTCCAGCATTTATATTAATAATAATTAAAAATAGCTAATTTTACTAATCTGTCAACTGGTAACATTTCATGATTATAAGCCTTAAACATTTAATACAGGTACAATTTTCTTGTGTGTAGAATACATATTAAAATATCAAAGGCACTTTTAGGTTACATGATAAATAAAAACACAATAGAGACAGGCTAATTGACTGGTTCCTTCAGTTTCTGTGTCCATGGTAATCATCGAGAGCCCAGCTCTGCACTTCACCTTTCGCAAATAGCGTAAAGAAAATGGCACCAAATACATTAATACCAGCTGCGATATAGAAAACAGTCTGCCATTCTCTAACAGTGTTCTATAGAGAAAGAAAAAAAATGCAAATGAAAAAAAAAATTTCTTGTATTCCATTTTATATAAGAGATAGTGTCACAAGAGTGTTACAAAAGCAGCATTAATTCACAAAAACCTTGTGCTTGAAAGAACCCAAACGTCTGTTAGCAGGACCATGGAATGTTTATTCAATGGAGTACTATATAGTAATGAGAATGAATGAGCTACAGTATAGAAACATCTCATAAAATGTTAATCCAAAGAACTCAGACCAAAAAGAATAAATAGTAAATGACAAAATTAACTATGTTGTTAAAGTTAGATGGGGGAAGGTAAGAATGGTGAGAATGGTTACCTGGAGGGTTCTTGAGGGAGGTAATGTTCTGATTTTTGACTGCTACTTACAGAGATATATTAACTTCATGAAAATTCATCTAGTTGTATACCTCGGATTTGTGTATTTGAAAAAATATCTGTCAAGGACCAGCAGTTAGTGTAATGGCTATGTTGCTGGACTCCCATGTAGTTGACCGCGGTTCGAGTCCCGGATCTGGCAGCTTAAACTCACGCCGGGCACATGTGCGTGCATGCTCAAGATCCCAAGAGGAGAATGGAGGAGAAGGGATTGTGGCGTGGCCATCCCCCCGGGGGTGATTTCTCACTTTCTGTCTCTCTGTCTCTCTCTGTCTTTCTGGCAAGCGCACGTGCCCGATAGCAAAAACAAAACAAAACAAAACAAAAACAAACAAAAAAACCAAACCTCTCCAAAAAAAGAAAAGAAAATATATGTTATACTTCAATAAAGTTTACCAAAAATAGAAAGCATAGCATGTTTCTGAACTATGTGTTCCTAAGAATGTGTGTGTCAGGTAGGCCAAGTAAGGTCGAGTTAAGAAGGATTCTGAAGTTCGTATCTGGGGGGTCTAAGACCTCGAAGTGAAGCTTGGCCAGTGTGGATGGACTCAAGAGGCACAGAGCAGGACATGCATAAGATTCGTCAGTGAGAGACTGACAACTGTCCAGTGGCACAGAAACATCACACAGTATCTACATTTCTGGATCATGTGACTTCCTATAAAAACTTTTTAATGTTCTCCTTTTCCTTTTTTTTAAAATTTTTTTACAATTCCAGTGTAACCAGGATGCTATATTTGCAGCATTAAAAAAAAATAACAAGCTGTAGAACTGACAGTGAGTAAATGGGAAGGCACTGGGAGGACAGGATAGGTTATTTATTTAAGAAGAAAGGAAAAACTTGGAGAAAGAAAAGAGCACCTTTTCTTGTCTCATATGATTATATTTTAGTGCAAACAAAATCTTAGAAATCCATTTTAAGTTTCAGTGACTAAAATTTAGATATGCCAATGACATGTTACCACCCTAGAAGAGAAGTCAGTCAATAATTGCATCTTATACCATCAAGAAATGTTTAAGACGACATCTTAGGATTTGAAAGACAGCTTCTCTGTGGTCTAAGGATAAGCTAATGCTTGTGCTACCTGGATGCAATGAATGACTTATCAATTGTAGAAGAATATCCATAGCTTCCAGGTTTTTTTTTTTTTAACCAGTTTTTTGAGAATATTGTTTTGTTTATAACAAAACTAAACCTCAGACACATTGTTTTAATTATTTAATTATTTATTTATACTTGGACTCATTCCACAAATTTTTTAGGCAGTGCTGTCAATTTTAGTTGTGATTACAATAACAATACTTATAAAGGCAAGAACCTGCTGTTCCATTTTAAAATATTTTAAACAAATGCTGTAACACCTTCCAAATACACTCAGTACTTACTTTATAAACATTTATAACTTTAATTTAGGGATCCATATTTCCCCAGCAGAGTGTGGATCATAAATGAAATGAACACATGGCAGTGTGTTGACTCTGGCTCCCTTTGCCACACTGCTCCATAAAGACAAGGTTAAACACTTCGGATGTGTCCACATTGAGACATGGGAATTTATTAGAAACACAATAAACAAAAAACCAAAACTCTGCAATATCTTTCTATTAAGTGAGAGTAAATAGTAACTGGGAAGTGCCAATCTACTTAAGCAAGAAATTAGAGAGAGTGGGAGCAGAGAGAAATAAAAACACTATTTGTGGTAAACACACATGGGTCTGAAATTGGTGTACTTGGGAATATAGTTTGTAAGTATGTTATAAAATTCTAAGACTTAGACACTGTTATTAATTTGATCACAGGGACAAAACAGAAAATTAAGCCTCTTGAACATGGTTCACAATTCCTTCGGGTTAAACAAAAAAAAAAAATTTAAGGGTTTTTGCCATAACGTGTGTGTGCTTGCTAGAGAGAGACAGAGAGAGACAGTGAGAGGGAGAGTGAGAAATCACCCCTCCAGAGGGGATGGCCATACCACAATCCCTTCTCTTCTATTCTCCTCCTGGGATTTTGGGCATGAATACACATGTGCCTGGCATGATTTTTCAAGCCACTGAGTCTGGGACATGAACCACTATCAGCCATGTGGGAGTCATTGACTTAACCACTATGTTGCCTGCCGGTTCCCAGATATTTTTAAATAATATAAAATTGTGGGGCTGGCAGGTGGCATAGTGGTTAAGGCGGCTGGACTTCTACATGGTTGACCATGGTTTGAGTACCAACCTGGCAGCTCTCTTTCTCACTTTCCTTCTGTCTCTCTCTCCCTGGTCAACTTCAAAAAGATAAAATAAAAATAATGACAATGAATAAAAAATTAAATAATTATTTTTAAAAATTGTAGAAAATTGGATTTGGAAGGGGCACTGGAGGTCATCTATTTTAGCTTCTTACACGGTTAGGCAGGCTTTTTAAAAATATTTATTATAGGGCTCCTGCTTTCACTGGAGAGTGAGGGAAGGAGAGAGGGAGAGAGAAGGTGAAAAAGCGCCCCCCAGGGGGATGTGGCCACACCACAATCCCGTCTCCTCCATTCTCCTTTTGGGATTTTGGGTACGTACGCACACATGCGTGGTTTCTTTTTGAAACCGCAGGGTCTGGGGACTCAAACTGTGCGGCTGGCCATGTGGGATCTAGCCACCTTAACCACCGTGCCACCTAGTAGGCAGGCTTTTAAAATGCTCTGCCTTCTGATCAGGCCTTGTACCTTTTCCCAGCTTCTGGGCTGACCAACCTGGGGCCCACCTGCCTCCAAGGGCTTGCTGACCTTGCACAGGTCCATGTACCCTGCCCCATACATACAACCTGGCTTCTTCCTATATGGCTCCTTCTATACCTCACCTTCATGGGTTTATTTTTAGAATAATCTCACATTGCCCATTTTTATTCGTCCAAACACATACATTATTTATCTGGCTTAATATTACAGTTTTTAACTACTTGTGTGATTTTTCAGCTGTGAGATCTTCACTTAACTTAGTACTACTGCTTTGTCTTGTACCCAAAGAGTACTGAACCAGCAGATGATGTGGTGTTGTTAAGGTACTAGATCCTTTATGGTTGATACGCGGTTTGAGTCCTGGACCCAGTGGCTTGAAAAATATCAGGCATGTGTGCATGTGTGCATGAATGCCTAAAATCCCAAGAGGAGAATGGATTGTGGTGTGGCCATTCACCCGGGGGGTGATTTCTCACTTTTCCTCTCTGTCTCTAGCTAGTATACATGCCCTATGGCAAATATATATATATAAAAGAGTATTCTTTGAAAGTATACTTTACCATCCATAAGGTATTTAGTTTTTTGTTACTATAATTTCGTAAGAATAGACATTCAGAAATTTATCTGTAACTACAATATACTCAACTGGGACATAGATGTGCAGCTTCAAATGTTTTCAGTTTACAAGCAAATGATCTACTTACATTGGGGGTCAGACTCTTAGCAATGACGGGCCCAACCATTCCTGGAATAGTGGCAAATGTATTTGTGATGCCCAGGAGGATACCAGCGTACCTGCAGAGATATTTTCAGAGAGGTTTTTATTGTTACACAGTTAAGCAGTTTCTTCCAGTTGATAGCTATTCTACTTCCAGGTTGTGTTCTTAAATAAATTCATGTCTGGGGAACCAGCAGTTAGCGTAATGGCTATGTTGCTGGACTCCCACGTAGTCGACCGCGGTTCGCGTCCTGGACCCGGTGGCTTAAAACTCACGCCGGGTGCGTGTGCGTGCGTGCCCAAGATCTCAAGAGGAGAATGGAGGAGAAGGGATTGTGGCGTGACCATCCCCCCTGGGCGGTTATTTCTCGCTTTCTGTCTCTATGTCTCTGTCTGTCTGGCGAGTGCACACGCCCTATAGTGAAAAAAACAAAAAACAAAAAACAAAACCTCTCCAAAAATTTTATGTCTGCACGAAATGCCTTACTGAAATAGGATTATATATTTGGCTGGTAAAAAACTGTCATTTCGATATTATTTTCACATTACATAGAGGAACACAGTCACTAAAATAATTACTTTTTCACTCTGGATAGAAGCTTAGTGTGTCCATTGTAAATTTTTTTCAAACAAAAAAAAGAGGATTTAGGGTCAACAGGTGGTGTGGAGGTTAAGGTGGCTGGATCACACATAGCCAACTGTGCGGTTGGAGTCTTAGACCTCATGGCTTGAAAATCACGCTGGGTGTGTGTGTGTGTGTGTGTGCATGCCCAAATCCTGAGAGAGAATGAGGAGACAGGCTTGCCACGTTGCTATCCCATTTAGGAAGTGATTTCTCACTTTCTCTCTGTCTCTGTCTCTGTCTCTAGAGACTGCATGTGCCCTACAGCAAAACTAAATAAAAATAAATAAATAAGAGGATTTATTTCCTGATTATAAAATTAAGTTAATTAATCATTAAAAATTAATTACAAAGAGAAAGCATTAAGAAAATAAATTTACTGAGAACCCAGTTCCATCTCCAACCTCCTGGCGAAACCGGGGACCCTGAGGCAGGCTGATCACTGGCCACAGCCCAGCTTCCTGAACTCCACAGCTCCCCCATCTGTAAGCCCACAGGCAGCTTCCACCTCTCCGACAGAACCCAGTTCCATCTCCAACCCCTGGTGAAACCACATGCCGCACATGTGACTTTTTCTTTATTCTCCTTTATACTCTTTTTGTTTCCCTATTATACTGTCATTTCCTCCTCATCCTCCATCCTTTTAGAGGGCCTAGACAGGTCTAGAATCACACTTTAAAAATACCCTAGTACTATGAGCCACCCTTGGATCCTCCTCTTACTGAACCACCTTCAAAAAAGGAGATACTCTTCTACAGACACCTGAGTAGAAGACTCCTCTTGTGGAGAGCGCATTGTCAAACACAGCAGAAGAGACTTCAGCACACAACTGACTACAGCAAAAGGGAAGCACGCTTGTTCCAATTTGAATAAACATTCTCCAAAGAGGTATCCAAAAGTGAATACATCTCCCAATGGCTAGAAGTAGAATACAAGCCTCAGGTCTGAATAAACCAGGAAATTATGTCTCCATCAAAAGAACAAAATAAGGGACCAGCAGTTAGCGTAATGGCTATGTCACTGGACTCCCACGTAGTCGACTGCAGTTCAGGTCCCAGACCCGGTGGCTTGAAACTCACACCGGGCGCATGTGCGTGTGTGCCGAAGATCCCGAGAGGAGAATGGAGGAGAGGTGATTGTGGCGTGGCCATCCCCCTGGGGGGTGATTTCTTGCTTTCTGTCTCTCTGGCAAGCGCACGTGCCCTATAGCAAAAACAAAAACAAACAAACAAACAAAAACAAAAAAACCAAAAAAACCCCAAAACTCCCATCTCTCAAAAAAACAGGAAGTTACCAAAATGTCAGAGAAAGAATTTAGAACATTCATGGTGACAAAACTCTATGAGCTGGAACAGAAAAGAGACATCAAACTGTAAGAGATTAGGAAATTCTTCCATGATATGAAAGAAGAAATAGACACTATCAAAAAGCATCAGATGGAACTATTAGAGATGAAGTCTGTAATAAGGGAAATCAAAAACTCTCTACAAAGTGTTAAAAGTCAACTAGACCATGCTGAAGAGCGAATCTCCAACATAGAAGATAAAAACTCTGACCTAGAAAAAAACACCAAAAAGACAGAGAAAATAACAAAAAAACCTACGAGGATAATATATGAGAAATACTAGATTCCATTAAACATCCAAACATTCAAATAATTGGTATCCCAGAAGGTAAAGAAATTGACAAGGGCATGGAAAATCTATTTCATGAAATCCTGGGAGAAAACTTTCCAAGTCTAGAGAACTTTTTGTACATCCAGACTCAAGAAATACAAAGGACCCCAAATAGAATCAACCCAAGAAGATCTTCCCCAAGACACATCTTAGCCAGACTGGCCAAGATCACAGATAAAGACATGATACTAAAATTGGCAAGAGAGAAATGACAAGTGACCTACAAAAGTCATCCCATCAGGTTTACACTGGACCTTTCAATGGAAACAATGCAATCAAGGAAAGAATGGGAAGACATATTGAAAGTGTTAAGAGAGAAACAATTTCAACCCAGATTATTATATCCAGAAATATTATTCTTCGTGCGGGAAAAAAGATTAAAATCTTCTCTGGGACCAGCAGGTGGCTTGGTGGTTAGGGTGCTGGACACTCCCATATAGCCGACCAGGGTTCAAGTCCTGAATCTGGTGGCTTGCTTTCTCACTTTCTCTCTCTCACACTCTCACCCTCTGTCTCTCTCTGGTCAAATTAAAAAATAAATGAATGAATAAATAAAATAAATAATTATCAAAAAAAAGATTAAAATCTTCTCAAACAAAACTTGAAATAATTAGCCAATACCAGACCAGTTCTTCAAGAAACTCTGAAGAGAGTGCTGTTCCAGCAAAACTAAAGAATGAACAGCCAGGAATAAGGGAATAAAAGATAACCAAGACAATGGCCAACTTAAAGGTAGGGTCAAGTCCGGAAATATTGATAATAACATTGAATGTTAATGGATTTAATTCTCAAATCAAGAGGCACAGGATCAGCAGTTGGCATAATGGTTATGTGGCTGGACTCCCATGTAGTTGACTGTGGTTCGAGTCCCGGACCCAGTGGCTTAAACTCATGCCAGGCATGTGTGCATGTGTACCCAAGATCCTGAGAGAAGAAAGGAGGGGAAGGGATTGCAGGTAGTCGTGGCCGAGTGGTTAAGACAATGGACTTGAGAAGGGATTGCAGCATGGCCATCCCTGCCCCCCAGGGGGTGATTTCTTGCTTTCTGTCTCTTTGTCTGTCTCTGTCTTTCTGGCACGCACACGTGCCAGAAAGCAAAAAACCTCTCAAAAAAAAAAAGAGGCACGGACTGCTGAATGGGTAAGAAAACCCATTTTATCCGTGGCCTACAGGAAATGCATCTCATGGATAAAGACATACATAAACCAAAAGTGAAGGGTTGGAAAAAGATATTCCATGTAAATGGGAGCCAAAAAAGAGCTGGGCCATGATACTAATTTCTGACAAAACAGACTTTAAAACCAAAACAATTTGAAGAGGCAAAGAAGGGCACTATATTGTAGTAAAAGGATTAAACTATCAAGAAGATATAACGTTTATAAATATCTATGCACCTAACCCAGGAGCACTCAAATATGTGAAGGAAAGACTGCTGGATCTAAAAGGAGAAATAGATTGCAACACACTAATTGTTAGAGTCTTCAATACCCCACTACCCCTCTGGACAGATCATCTGGACAAAAACTAAGAGATAAAGGATGTAAATTAAACCATAAAACAAATGAACTTAACAGATATCTATAGGACTTTCCACCCAAAAACTATGAAATACACAGTTTTCTCACCCCCATATGGAACCTTTCTGAAGACTGACCACATGATAGGGCATAAGGCAAGCTGCTACTGATTCAAAGGCATAGAAACTATATCCAGCATCTTCTCTGACCATGATGAAATTAAACTTGATTTTAATTTGAAGAGAAATCCTCAAAAACACACAAATACATGGAAACTAAATAATCTGCTCCTGAATTGTGGGAGGCTGCACACCAGCTAGTCTGCCGAGGCCATTTTCATGAGTCTCTTACTATTGCCATCTTAGAAAAGCCTTTAGGTTTGGGTTTCTCAGAGAGCAAACAATTACACAATGCCAAAGGCCACAATTGGCTCCCCTTCAAAACCTCACCTTCAAAATCATTCTCTGATTGGCCACTAGAATCCCTCATATTTGCATATCTGGTACCTCATGATTGGTCCGCAAAAGCAACCAATCATAACCCACCTTTTAACAACCAATCACCACCCACCAACATGTATATAACCACAATCCCTGACCCACAATAAACGGACGACCCTGAAGACTTGTAACACTGTGTTGTCCCTGTGTCGTAATATTGTGCTGTTCGTCCCGCCTCTCACTCCTTCCCTCAGGAAACCTGTTCGACTGTCTTGTGGGTCGGGACACTGAATGACTTCACAACTACTGAAGAAATAAAGACTGAAATCAAAAGATTCATGGAAGCCAATGACAATG